CTTGGCGCAAAAATAAATGTGACAATCCTAGTCCACCATCGCGGACGCGCCGAAAGATGTTCATACGACTCGTCCGTTCAAATGACGAGCCCCAAATAAAAACAGCAAAGACGCGGTGAATTTTTTGAACATTAACTCGGGAGCAATGCAATACCTGTAGCACGTACCACAGTTTGCTAACAAGAAACAAATTGCACACTGTGGCACGGGCAAAAATAGACAATTCCCAACCTCTCCAGCCCTCCACTCTCTCGCGCAGTTCTAGCGCCCGCCTGCGCCAATAAGGCTCACTGTCGCTGTAATTCTCCAGAGGTACGCCCAAATAGTTCACAGGAGTTGTTGACCACCTTATATTTTGAAACACACTGGGAGTGGAAAACCAGCGACCATGCCAAAAACCCAAACACTTATCCCAGTTCACAGCACTTCCACCAACAGCACAAAAACGTTTAACTATGTTCACAACTTCAACTATGCTTTCTTGATTCGTGCAAAACACAGCGATATCGTCAGCGTAAGCTAAAATACGTACTTCAGATGCAAAAAGATTAAACCCGCGGATACTGTTGCTTCTAATGATGCTCAAGCAAAACGATTCTATGCAAATGCAAAAAAGGAGAGGTGAAAGAGGACATCCTTGGCGTACGGAACGCTCTACTTTGATGCGCTTTCCGACCGACCGATTTACTATAAGACTGGTGGTACAACCGCTGTACGCCATTCGCACACCTTCTCGTAAAACTGAACCGACATTTACATGGTCTAAAACAGTTAACATAAGATCATGCGGTACCCGATCGAAAGCTTTTTCGAGGTCAATTTGTAGCATGGCTACACCCCTATTCATGACATCACTACACTCCAGCACATTCCGAGCCTTTTGAATATTTGTAAAAATAGTTCTTCCCTTTATCCCGCACGTTTGGTGGGGACCAACTAGTTCTGTTATTACCGATTGCAGTCGTCTGGCCAGAATTTTCATTAGTACTTTATAGTCGATATTAGTTAAACTTATGGGGCGATAAGCTGTGACCTGTCTTAGTTTGATTTCGTCTTCTGTTTTGGGAATCAACACAGTGTGCGACGACAAAAACGTAGGTGGTAGGACATTTAGTTCAAATGATTCGTTGAAAACGTTAGTTAAGATAGGCGAAATCTCATGTTTAAACGCCTTATAAAATGCGGCGCTTAGCCCGTCAGGACCCGGGGACTTTCCCGGGTTCAGTGCCTCGATTGCTATTTTAACCTCCTCGTCTGTGAAGGGTTCCTCCAATACTTCCCTTGTTCCGTCGTCAAGACGGGGCATACATGACAAAAATTCATTTTTAAAACACTCTGTCTGAACAGAGGTATGAGCAAACAGCGTACTGTAATAGTCATAAAAGGCACGCTCTATCTCTGACCCTTCCCTGCTAACTACCCCACCATATTCTATTTCAACTATCTCGTTTCGGCGCGCGTTCCTTTTTTCAAGGCCTAGGGCACGCTTAGTGGGCGTCTCCCCAGCCATCAGCCTACCAGCCCGCGCTCGAACCAAAGCTCCGCGATAACGCTCTCTGTCTATAAGTTCAAGCTTTGCCTTCAAAGTACAGATGTCATCTCTGAATGTACCCGGCATTTTGCCATCTTCCCTAATCAGCGTTTGCAAGCTGCATCGCAGCAACGTTTCGTTTCTTTTCTCTTCATTTTGAATTGCGCTCGCTCTTTCTAGTGCTTTTATCTTTATTTCCTGCTTAAAAAGTTCCCATTTCTTCCCATATTCCGATTTTTGCCCATTCTCTACTTTATCCAAAGAAGCCTGCACTTGGGCTCTAAAAACTTCGTCCTCCAAAAGCTTGGAGTTGAATTTCCATAACTCCCAGCTAAACGAATTTTTCTTTTCCTTGTGACCATTAATGCAAGCAGAAACCAGACAATGATCGCTGAAAGACACCGCGCGTACACTGTACTCGCAACACAAAGGAAGCAGCTCCAACGAAACATACAGTCTATCCAAGCGGGCATGACTCGACCCTTGAAAATGGGTAAACTTCACCTCCCGCCCGCTTCTGAGGCATTCACCGACGTCGTCGAGGCCACACTCATTAACTATGGCACTCAGACTCGCGGTGCTCGAATCACTATAGGCAGTGGAACTGGTCTTGTCGCCCGAAGAACAAACACAATTAAAATCCCCCAGAAAAATAAGAAGCCGATCGCAGTTGCAGTAATGGCGAATGCCGTCAAAAAAGATGCGCCTTTCTTCAACTCTAGTTGGGGCATACACACAGATAACACGCCATTCGAAGGAAGAAAAACTTAAATCACACACTACAAAACGGCCCGACGCGCACGAAGTCACGGACTGAACTGTAGCTCCTAAGCAATGACGTATAAGCAAAAAACACCCTGCCGACGTACCCACCGCATGGCTGACACAGACGTCGTATCGCGCCGTAAAGAGCCTTACCATAATGTCAGTCTGCTCCACGCTCTCTATTTTAGTCTCCTGCACGGCGACAATGTCCAGGTCATGCTCCGTCACGAGGCGGTAAAGTTGGTTCTGTCTCCGCCTCGCTGAGAGCCCACGTACGTTTAAGGTCGCAAATCGCAATGGCCTTTCTAACGTCACCATCGACTAGTAGAGGGTGGACATACGACGCTACACGTGTTAAACAAACAGCAAAGCATAATCCGTGGATTACTCGTGAAATAATTCACCACAAGCGTAAGATAAGGCGAATGAGGAAAGCAAAGAATAAAAAACGTGAGGTCATTGAAGAGATTACTAGAACAATGAAACGATTACTGAAGGAAGCGAAAGAAAGATTCTTTGGGGTCACCCTACACGACTTTCTGAAAAGTTCGCCGGGAAAATTCTGGAGGTATTTAAGCAATAAAAAAGAGCAAATCGAGCAGATTATTGTAGATGATGTGGTAGTCACGGAAGGTAAAGAGATTGCAAACAAATTTAATGAATTCCTTCAATCGGTTTTTACGAAGGATGATCAACAAAGCAGGATCCCAATATCTACCAGCGCGACGCCACCTCAGATGACAGAGCTGATCATAACGCAAAATGGAATTTTTGATAGATTGTTACATCTTGATCCGAAAAAGGCTCATGGACCAGATAAGATCCCCGGAGAATTTCTAAGAAAATATGCTGAATGGTTGTCATTCTACCTTGAAACGATTTTTAATAAGTCCCTGGAAACAAGCACTCTTCCTTGTGACTGGTTAAGGGCGAAAGTGGTACCGATATTTAAAAGTGGCAATCGTCTGCAGATAAATAATTACCGTCCAGTGTCTTTAACTAGCAGCTGCTGCAAAGTGATGGAGCATATAGTTGCAAAACATATAATACAATTCTTGGATAGCAACTCTTTTCTCTATCCGAGACAGCATGGCTTCAGGGCAGGTTTATCAACAACGACGCAACTTGTAGAAACTTTTCACGACTTTGCTTCTGCCATGAATTCGAAGCAACAAATTGATGTCATAAGCATAGATTTTTCAAAGGCATTTGATCGCGTTTCGCATAGAAAATTACTGACTAAACTTAAGATGTTTGGACTAAATGAAAACATCACAAGTTGGATTCAGGCTTATTTCAGAAATAGATCACAGACGGTTGAAGTTCGAGATGCCCCTTCATACTCATTATCGGTAACTTCAGGCGTACCACAAGGGTCCGTATTGGGACCATTGTTGTTTCTTTTATATATTAATGATATCTCTACGGTCATTAAACCGCCAGTACAAATAAACTTGTTTGCAGATGATTGCTTAGTTTACTCACCAATTAAGACATCCGAAGACCAGGCAGCATTAAATGATAGTTTGGACTACATCAAACAGTGGTGTTTCCAATGGCAAATGGAAATTAACTTCAAAAAGTCATCCTATTCTCACGTCACTAATAAGAAGAATGTATCTCTGTTTCAGTATCACATTGGGAATGTAGAACTAACAAAAGCAGAAACTTTCAAGTATTTGGGGGTAACGATAAGCCAAAACTTAAAATGGCAGCCACATATCATCAATATCTGCGCAGCTGCGTATAGGAAATTATGTATGCTTAGAAATAAACTTAAAAATAGCAATGAAGAAATAAAACTTACGGCCTACAAAACTCTAATACGACCCACTCTAGAATATGCCTCTGTCGTTTGGGACCCCGCAACCAAGACTGACATAGACAGGCTCGAGAAAATACAGAGGAAGGCTGCACGTTTCATAACTTCAAATTACAAATCAACGTCCTCTGTGACAGAAATGTTGAGTGCCTGCAGGCTTGAACCCTTAGCGCGGTTAGGAGAAAAATTGCACGCCTAAAGTTTTTGTTTTTGATTTATCATGGACAAGTAAAGATCAACCGAGACACTTATCTTAGAAACATAACCAATAGATCAGCTAGATTAAATCATTCCAAAGCATTGCAGTCGTATCTGCCCAGAATCGATGTTTTCAAGTATTCCTTTTTTGCAAATACAATTAACGATTGGAATAAGCTTCCCGAACATATCGTAAGTCACGACGATGTTTCAGTGTTCGAAGACGCCGTTAGACTTTTTTACTCTGTTTAAAGAGTGAGCATATTGCCTGGTGTTAATTTGTCTTTTTTTTTCTCTCTTTTTGGGGTTAAATATGCATATATTACGTGATACTTTAAATATTGTACTGCTTTTCTTTTGTATATAGTGTTTTTGTACACGGCACGTGCCCTCAGTTATTAGTTATTGGTGATAATTTTTGTCAGTATATTGTCATTGTTAATTTTATTATCACTTTTTACGTGCATTTAGTGCTCTTGTTTTCTATTTTGCGCTCTCGGCGCGTTTTGTATTTAATCTTGTAACCACTTTATTGTTCGTAGCTCTGTTGGAGGTATGAGTCATATTCTTTTTTGTGTGTGTGTGTGTGTTTTTGTTGTTGTTTTTTCCTCCCTGCCACGGCCCTACGGGCTAGCAGTATGTACAAATAAATAAATAAATAAATACCCATATCAGCCAGCGTCGTGCCGAGCGTTCCAATTCAGCTGTCGGTTACGTAGCCTGCCCGTCACCGCGTGTAAGCGACGACGAACGGGCTTTGCTAGCGACACGTTTCCCCCTCCCACCGACGGTCTTCCACTGCTTGTCCAGCTGGCTGAGCTGCTGCTCCTGCGATGCGCCGCTGACCTCGTCATGTCGACGCTTTGCCGCCGCCACGTCAAAGTCCATCTGGTCCTTCTCCGAGGGAGGGCCGTCCTCTCCTCGTGCGGGAACGGGGTCCCCGACCTTGACGATGGCCTTGGTCACCGGCTCCTGTTGGGCAGCCGAAACGGAGGACGCCCGTTTCGGGAGCTCCTCGGGCTCGCGACTTTCCACAGCAACAGCAACGGCTTTTCTCGGAACTTCGGCCTTGACCTCTGTGGCCTCCGAGGCCGCGGCACGTTCCGCTTCTTCCTCGTCCATGAGGAGCTCGTTGTTGTCTCCTCCGTCGGTGCCTTTTCCAACTGCCCGAGCGTACGACCGGGTGCAATCGGCCTGCACGTGCCCGAAGGCACGGCATTCGCTGCACCTGGGGACTCGGCAGTCCTTCCGGATATGCCCCGTGGTGTAGCATCTGAGACAGATCGGCGGGCGGCCGGGGACTACCACGAGAACATTGCCGCCGCCGAGGCGTAGCTGGTGCGGGATGCGGTCTAGCGTGACACCATCGCGCAGCACCAAGCGGACGAGACGGGTCGTCGACTCGGCGTGCTCGAAGCCCGGGACCCTCCACTTTTCGCTGGTCACCTCCTTCACGACGCCAAACTCCGCAAAAGCTCGGCGTATGGCGTCACTGGTAACGTCGAAAGACACCCAGTGCAGTTTCACGCGAAGCTCGTGCCTTACGGGGTCGATGACAAGGCACGTCTTCTCCTTAATGATGAGCTGCCCGGCTTCGAGAAGCTTCTTTTTCGCCTCGTCCGACCGCATGTTGAGGAGCCACACGTGCGACATTTGGTACGCACCTATGGTTCCCACGTCCTGGATGACTCCGGCGTTGTTCAGCGGCTGCCGAAAGTCCTCGATCTTGTAGGGTCGACCGGCGATGTCGCAGTGCAGAATCACTGCACGCTTCATCGCCTCTCCGGAAGGCAGCGAAGGCAAAACAATACGATAGTCCGAAATGGCAGCCATATTGCCGATAACCGAGTCACCGCGGCCCGAGGGGGCCGTTGTCGCAGCTCCGTGGGAGCCAGCCATTCCTACGTCCGTACTCGACGAGCGCCGGAGAAAGAATGAACCCGACACTCCTGACATACATCCTACTTATACAAACCAACAAGTGCCCCGAGCGGTATATATGCCCTCCTATTTCGCGCATCGGTTAGCCCGGTGACCACGCTGGTCTTAATCAAGGTATGAAAAGATTACGCCAATTTTATTTTTCAATAATATTTTTTCTGCATTTGTCTTAGGTAGGTACACATATCCCTTAATAACTTCTTACAGCATAATGTATTATAATGATACGCGCCTAACTTCTAGTAACTCAACGTGAGTGACGAGAAAAAAAAATCGTGTGAATTCTGTCTGGCAACCACATTCGCGGCCTGGTTGCTATGGCGACGCTGTCGGTACGCGCGCCGGCAGCCGTCCAGCTGGTTCGGCCGTTCGGCTACGGCAGAGTGCGCGAGTCCACGGTGAACGCCGCGAACGCAATCGAGAAAACAAAGCGTCGACTACTGAAGCTGTACGTAATCTAGTTTCCGCCCGTTCGCTGCCGAATTCTTCGTAGTCTTCTTCCGCCCGCTCGAAAGGGAGCAGCCTACCAGTCCGATTACCGCCGTGGCTTCAGTGGCTTCATCTTCGGAGGGAACTGTCAACTAAATTAGTTCCAAAACGCGGGTGCAACAGGCAGCGCAACGTGGCGCGGTCCACGCACAAAGTCGGTAAGTAAACAAAACACTCAATGCCGTTCCATTCTTTTTTTTTTTTTTTCTCTACGGGGGCGCGCGGTGTTTCTGGGTGGCTCAAGGTATGGGAAAGCAACCGGAAAAATCGCCGCCTGATCGACCATGGGGTGAAAATTTCAAGGCGTATCGTATGCAAACGACAGCGTTTGCCGGTGGAAGACTCGGTCGTTTGTGGCGAACGCATTTTTAGTATTTTTAAGGATGTTCTAGCTGCAAAAGAAAGGAGCGCCTTGAAGTTTCACAAGGTAAAATACACTGCTGAGGAAACGACGCCCCTTTGCGTGCAGGCGCCGATTTTTCCGGCAGAGTTTAGCGCGCTGTGAAATGCAGTGTGCATTTAGGGAGAGTTTTGGCATAATATAATGTTGCTCATTGGAAATAAAAAAAAGAAATGCTGGCATCATATGTTTACAGACTCTTAGTTATTTTTGGAATCTTAAGTACCCTTTTTGTGGCAGGTATTGGACGCCAGCACATTTTACGTAGGAACGAAGAGTGGAATCCGGCCAATTCCCTTCCACATTAACATCAAATGAGTGCTGTGAAAGCAAAGAAGAAAGTGAGGGTGAAACAGTTCCTGCAGTAGTAAGTGCCAGAAACAAGAAAAGTGCCCCGAAGTGGAAAATATACTCCCTTGAAAAGGATCCAAAAGAAATAGAAGTTATCAGGTATACCGCCGAGCGTCACAGACCTGGACACTCCATTTCAGTTTTTTTAAATGCCCATGCCCTGATGAGCTGTTTACAGCAATATTTGAGGGGACCATCCTGTATTGAACTCAATGCCACCATGAACACCATTTTCGGGTTCTGGTCACACCTCCACGCAGGATGTCCTGCTTCAGATCAAGGAGGATATCCTTGACAGAATCTCCTGTACGACAACGCGGGCGGTCCTGGCCCTGGATATAAAGGGCGCCTTTGACAACGTCAGTCACACGCTGGTGTTCGAGAACTTGGCCTCAACTGGGTGTGGGCCCTGGATGTATGATTATGTGCGGGACTTCCTGAGCAACTGGATGGCCACCATCGGAATCGAGTCCATCCGCACAAGCACCATCCCGATACCGAGCAAGGGCAATCTCGGCAAGGCTCGGTCCTGTCACCCACCTTGTTACCTGGCGATGTGCAAGCCGCCTCCTCTACTGGAACGGATTCCCCGGATGAAGCATACACTCTATGCCACTCTATGTGGACGACCTGACGATTTGGGCTACGTCGGGATCGGACAGCGGGAGGCAAGACTTCCTCGAAGAAGTCATTGAGACGGTGCACAACTACCTCGAGGCCGGCAACCTCCAGCGCGCCCCCGATAAGTCTCAGGTGTTGCTCCTCCGCGCGGGCAAGCCAATTCCCGAAGAAGAAGAAGGCGGACATCCGCCTCACGTTAAAGGATGGTACCCCCGTGCCGGTGGTGAAGCGGGTTCGGATCCTGGGGCCTTCACCTCCAGCGGGACGGCGAACCCAAGTACGCGGTCGACCGACCCGTCAAGACAACCACGCAAGTCATGCGCATGGTGAGAAGGATAACGAGTCACAGACACGGGCTCGAGGAGTCGGACCTGATCCGGCTGACCCAACCACTCGTCGTGAGCCACATCGCCTGCGCAAATCTGTATCTCAACCTGCTGTCGAGAGGTAAGGGCAAGATGGACGTGATTATTCGCAAGGGGTACTAGCTGGCACTGGGGGTGCCGCCATACGCGTCGAACGCCAAGCTCCGGCAGCTAAGTGTAAACAACACCTTCCAGGAACTCGTCAACATGCACCTAGCCAGTCAGTGGGAGCACCTGGCCCTCACACTGAGTGGGCGGCATGCCCCGAGCTCGCTCGGCATCCCCATCCCCGCATCGCAATGCGAGGCTATCCAGCTGCTGCTGGCCCTTTGGGACAAGATCCAGGTGGCACCAATCCCGTGGAAGCTGAACCCATCTTTGCATCCAGGTCGCTGGACGGCTCCGGTCCCTTGATTCCGCTTGGTCCCGTCGTGTAGCATAGGGCCCCTGGTAGCAATTGGGCTAGCCCAGCATTTAAGCATACTCCAGCCTTTTTGTATGTAAAGCAAAACAATTACTGCAACTGAATACTTCTTACCTGACAATAATCGTAGTTTGCACTGCTCAATGCCCTTCTGTTTTATCTAAAATACCGCAACTAAATACTTCGAGTACTGGTCGGAGCACTGCGGTCCAGGTGAAGTTTCTACTTCACCTGTTGCCCTTCTGTTTTATCTAAAGTACCGCAACTAAGTACTCCGAGTACCGGTCGGAGCTCTGCGGTGCCAGGTGAAGTTTCTGCTTATAAAAAAGTGTCTGCCCAAAAGCTTGCTTCGGTACCACAAGCTGCAACAGGAAGCCTGATGCAGAGGCTTTAAGAGCAAGCTCCATGCTTTGAATGTTGCTAAGCATGCGCGCTTGTGCAGTGCAACTGTCGTTCAGGACAACGTGCTCATTCTTGGCATTTCAGTTTCACTTGCACTTAAAGGGATGTTGAACCGAAATCTGGATTCCATAAAACACAGCGGCAAAAGCGTGTAACAAGATGCTACAAACACCAAAACATCACTCATACAGCGATATTTCGAATGGATGACCTTATTTTTAAAAATAGGAGGCGCATTTGACAGATTTGTTTTTCTTGTTTCTCCGAGAAGGAAAGGGAACAACCTCGCGTCTCCTCCACCTCGCCGCCTTGAAAGGGCGAAGCAGAGAGAGGAGAAAACGAGATATCTCGACGTCACGCGCCTCATCGGTCTCGTTCAATCTCAACCTCTTTCTCCAAATACGGCCGTCCATTCGAGATATCGCCTTGTGACTACGAGTAGTGTTTTAGGGATTGTAGCGTCCCGCCTACGGCTTCTGCATCGTTTTCTGAAATCCAAATTTCGGTTCAGCAGCCCTTTAAAGGGAAACGGAGTGTGGCAGCGATGGGATGATTTCTTGTGTCAGCCGGAGTTGCCTACCATTACCACTGTAGGGCAGCAAAGGCTACAGGCATGCAAGAGCGACTTTGAGAAGCGCTTTCGCAGAACAAGAGCTTGCGATAGAGCGTGTACTAGCTCGCACTTGTCGCCTTCGACCGCGCTGTCACCCTGGCAAGCCTTCGGCAACACCTTCAGAATGCCCGCATTCTTCCAGAAAGCCACAATATTATGAATATACCACAACAATGCCTGGCTTTTATTTTTTTCTAAAAAAGAGCATTTATGAAACTTTGAAAATGCAGCAGTGCACGCTCATTACCTTCGGTACTGCTTAGTACGTGCTCACTCACGCTCACCTTATCCAGGCTGAAAAGCTTGTGCTCGGACGGGGCATATTGAACACTGGTGGTGTCTTTTGACTGAAGTGATATACAAAGTATGAACAGGAGTGATAAAGAAACACAACATTTAATGCCGGTCATCTCCACTTTTAAAAAGTATCTCAACGTGAGATTAATTTGACATTTCGTAGTCAGGGTGATGAATTCCAGACAGGGTGACACAAACCGTTTTGATAAAAACGTAAAAACAAAATGTAACTTCTCCCTACAGGTGCCTAATACCTAGTTTGATGACTAGGAAACAACACGGAGGACTAGAGAAATGTGATGAATATAAACGAATAAAGCTGGTCATGAATTGAAGCATACTTAGGTATGTGAGCCACACAACTTGCAGCTGCCATCTCAAGAAAAACAAACAAAGCCTTTAATGATTTTGAAAATCGGAACAATCCTGGCAGGAGTTTCACAGACTTTGGCAATTGCACTATGTGATCAGCAATCAGGCTACAGGTGTTTTCTTGATTGTATTAATCACCTTGATTGCAACTGGCCGTAGCTGTGAGTAGATTAGAATAAGACAAAGCCTCTCAAGAAGGCAGCTCGTATTGTACGTCTTCTGGCCATGAGCGAAGCCGAAAAGCCAGTAGGCCGCCATGACCACAGTAAAGCCTTCGAAAAGCCAAATGGTTCCCTCCTGCATATAAAAGCAGAATTGATTCAGTCAGAGAATAATAAAGGCCGCACTGATGAGTATGATTTTAAGCATGAAATGCTTTTAGCTCCCGGCCACCAAACTGATGACATATCTTTTTGGGAACTAATGCCAAAAATCACTTCAAAACATCCCAGGTTTCGAAGTTGACTTTTGCGTTGGTTTTCTTATTTGAAACCGGCTTTGAAACCTACTGGGTCTCGAAGTCAGTTTTGGATCAGAAAGGTGTGCACTAGCAGGGTTCAAAATTTGCTGTCAAAATTTTGTTTCCTT